TTCCTCTGGCAGACACTACATGTGAATTAGCTACAAAACCATGGATTCTTAAAATAGATGCTTCCCCTAAAATAGTGCCTACATGCTGTGTATGTTAATTGTCTACTTGCTTGTTTACATGCTGACCAGCTATAAAATTCTTGAGAGCAAAAACTGTACCTGGCTTGCTTACCCATTTTATACTTGTCATCTAATGGAGTGCTTAGGATACAATGTAGGTACTTTAAAATATATGTTGAATGGATAAATGACCGTCTCAAGCACACAGACAATATGCTTAATGCAAAGCTAGGGATTTCCAGAGAAGGTGTGATGAGAAGATAATTCAATGAGGGAGTTGAAGGGGTTGTCAAGGGAGGACTTGAAGTGACACACCAAGACATTTAGGGGCTGAATAGAGAAGGAGATTATGGACTAGGTAAAAAGAGGCAATCAAATGATGAGAGGTCATCATAAAATTATAAAGCCAGTTCCATGAGGTAGTAAGTAAACAACTCAGAGGATGTGTGACTAGAATAAGATATGAGATTTTAAGATTTCATAGGTAGAGCTGTTCTAGGTCATTACTATGTCTAGATTGTGTCCTTGGAAGTATTAGGTCAAACCATATGGAATTGCCAATATTCTCCCATTTTTTATTTATGATCTAGTCCAGTAGTTTGCTAACATTTAATGGAGATGGGGTGAAGATCAAGGAATTTTGAAGCTAATATATTGATTGACTCATTCATATAGACTCTGATACCAGGCAGAGTGATTTTAGGAAGTAAGGGGGAAAGAGTGTTGTAACTCAAGGGCCTGTCTTGGGTGAGATTGATAGATTACAGTGAAGACAAAGGATGAAGGATGGCATAGATCAATGACGAAGGATGCAGACTTAAAAAGTGATACAATAGGAGTAATGGCCTAGTTTGGAAGTTGCAAAGGGGAGCTTGGAGAATACTTCTCTCAATCAACCCCTGGTACTTGGGTATTGGAAGAAGGAGCATCCTCTTGTAGAGAAAAGGGAGTCCTCCAATAAGAGTTCAGGCTCAGTTAAGTAAAGGAGGCAGAGAAGACATTCACAGAGGAAGCAGGATAAAGCTGTGGTTCCAGAGGAGAAAGTCTAGGAAGGACACAGGCCTTTATTTGAAAATCCTAAGAGAACAATGCCTAGAATATATTCATCATATTTACCCACCTACTTAGTTCACCGATCAGAAACTAAAAAAAAAAAAAAAAAAAAACTAAGGTCATTATAGGGTAATGATGGCATAAAGCAAGATTTTGGTTTATTTTTATCACGTATGACAATCCAGATCCATTTTGCAACAAGCTGCTTTATAATCCAGAACACATAAGAATGTTTTCCTCACTGTTCTCTATTTTGTCTTACCTACATGCTGACATTTACCTCTTTTCCTTGAAGTATCATCATACATTCCTGTGCAGTTCCCCACTGTATCCCAAGGTGCATCCCATTAAATTCACCCAAATGGGAAATTACAGTCTCAACGAGTGACTTCTTAGAAATTTTCCAGGCTAAACTGATGGCAACCATATTCTGTGGGGCTGAATTGGGGGCCTCAGACTCATATGTCCACATGGGGCAGGTGCATGGCCCTCTAGTCAAGCATATGTCCTAGTTTCATTTTGTAACTTTAAGAGAAAGACTACAAGCTGATCCTCTGTCCATTTGGTTGACAAAGCACCTGGATGTGTCCTCAATAAACAATACTGAATTTTAGGGCGTCACTGTCTTCCTTGCCTCAGAACTCTCTGCTGTTCTATTATAACAAACATACATAAGAAAAACTAGTCTTTCTTAGACTAAAGGACATACAATCCATTCATTTCAAATTTTGTCTTTGGAGCAAACTCAAGAGCTATTTGCTAGTTTTGTATTGTTTGGGCCCCTGTATAATAGTCTTTCCTGAACAATGCCAGAGTGTATTGTAACACCACAGTGAAGTGTGATTACAGTGAAAGATGTGATCAGTGCTACATTAAACTTGTTGTGATTATTATATGGGTGTTCCCGAGGCTACTGTCCTTAACACCACAGTACCCTAATTTATTGAGGATCTGTAGATGAAACTTCACATGGGTCTCAACTAGAAAAAGCCATGCTCCTCCTGACCCTATGGTTTGTTTTTCACTTTAGACTCTGTAAATCTTTTTTTTTTTCGGTACGCGGGCCTCTCACTGTTGTGGCCTCTCCCGTTGTGGAGCACAGGCTCCGGACGTGCAGGCTCAGCGGCCATGGCTCACGGGCCCAGGCGCTCCGCGGCATGTGGGGTCTTCCCGGACCAGGGCACGAACCCGTGTCCCCTGCATCAGCAGGCGGACTCTCAACCACTGCGCCACCAGGGAAGCCCAAGACTCTGTAAATCTTTGATGTGTGACCTGCCGATAGCAATTGAGCAGGACATTATATTTGGCCTTGGATATGCTGAAGCTTCCTCTAGTTTTTATTATATATTTACTTCATTTCTTTATTTTCTTAGTTTTTAAACATGTTTATTGTATGTATCTCTAAGATGCCTCAAATCCTATTTTGAAATCTTTGAATCTTCCTTTAAGGAAAATGTGTAAATAAAGAAATAAATTTGGAGTCTATGTAGAAACAGTCTTCTAGATATTTTGTATTCAATCAGAGAGTCACCCGCACTTTAAACTAATTGTGCTAATGAACTGAGAACTTGAAACAACTTTCACAAGAGTACTTGGCCTTGGAGGCACTGGAATGTGTGATTAGTCCTTGATGGGAACTGCCGTACTGCTAAGTCTATTTGTCCTTTTTCCTTTTTCTTCTCCTTCACCTTTCATCTGTCATGACCATAGCCTCTTCCACCTTTATTTAGTCCTTCATGTAGTCCTCAAAACCTCCCTCCTCCTGATACTCCTCAAGCATAGCACTGATTTATCCTCAAATGTTCTTTACGCCTATAAGAAAAAGGCCAAATCTTGCTCATCTTTTTGTACTCAGGGTCTAGCGTAAGCCTGGAATATAGTAGTCATCTAATGAACATTTACTGAATGAACCGAATTGCATTACATAAAGTAATGCATATAAAGCATTAGTAGAGCACTTGGCACAAAGTACAAAATAAATGTTTATTTCTCAATCACTTTCCTTCACACCTGGCCTGAACCTACTTTCCTACTTCATGTCCCACCACTGTGGCTTTAGGGATCATCAACTCTTGTAATTGCATGCATATTACATACATTTCTATGCGTATGGAGCCCTTACCATGCTGTTATTTCTTTCTACAATGCAATCTCTTTCTTAAATGCATCATCCTTGCCCAAATCTAGTGAAAAGAAAACATAATTCTGGTGATGTTGGTCCAAATCTCCTCTATAACAAGCCATGCCTTTTATATTTAAATAGTTTGACCTGGTTGGGCCTTTCTGGCATCTTTCACATAGAATTACATGTTCTTTTATAACTGGCAAAGCTCCTTAAATCAAACTAAAACATACTTCCATTTATTGATGCAAGCACCCCTACTTTCTACTACTCAAAATCATTAATAAATGAGCAATAATTAAACTTTTGGATTTGACTAAGTAGTTTTTATACATATGTATCTGGTTGTTTAGCATTTTATTTCATTAAATTGCCTCATACAGGAAGTCTAAAATACATTTTATAAATTTTTATAATCAAAAAAAAGATGGATGATTTGTTTATTTTGGGGAAAACTCAGCCCAAGGCTACTGATAGCTGTAATTCCCCTAGCCACTTCCACATAATTTTTAAAATGTGAATGCCAGGAATGGTGCTGTTGATATTAATATCAGGACAAGGGAGAGAAGGACTAGGTGTCTCTGGAGGAGTCTCTGGGGGAATAAACAAAGATACTTGTGCAATGTTAGAGATTTCTGACTTCAGGTTGACCTTATCAACAGCCTGTACAGCAATGAAGAGATCTGTGCCATTTGTAAAAGTGATGTTTTCTGGTTTAAACACAAAGACTTCCTCTGAGTTGGCCTCCTTTGGGATGAGGTCAGTGGTGTTCACTTGAAGTGAATCATTGAACTTGTCTCTGAGATCAAGAATATTTGTGCTTATTCCAATGATGTACTTGTGAGCTTAAAAAAGAAAGAGAGAAAAAGGATGTGACTTGTAATTCTCAAGTCTTAAAGAAGTTTTAAAAAATCTGTTAGAAACAATATCACCATCCCATAAAATACCAATAAATAAATGTAATTAACGGTCCATATTTATAAGCATTAGTATCTTCTTTTACATTCTTATTTTTATATCCCGACAGAGTGATAAATGTAAAACTGGATCAGGCTTGACTTAAATAAAGACTAGGTCAGTATTTCTGGCCATAGCACCTGACTGAGAGAGGAGGTTAATTACCACTTATTATTTTATTATTTGTGCTTCTCAAACTTGACCGTACATACACATCATCCAGGGATCTTAAAATGCAGATTCTGTTTCAGTAGGTCTGGGGTGGGGCCTAAGGTTCCACATTTCTAACAAGCATTCATCTGATGCCCATGCTGCAGTCCACAGACCATACTTTGAGAAGAAAACTCTGGTAGAATCTGAGATTTCTTCCAAAGGACGGCTCTGCTCCATAGATATCTATGATCTTTTCCCCATTCTCTCCAGGGGTCATTACTAAAAATGAGGTTTATTAAAGCAGCAAGCAAGATTGGAAAGATTGCCAAGCAAACGGCTTGGCAAGATTTCAGAAAAAAACTGAGGATTGCCTGTTCCTGGTTGAAACATCTTACACCCCTTTGGGCCAGTTTTTCAGATTCTAAACTTCTCATGTTTAAAAATCTTAAGCTTTCATTTCAGAGGATGTTCAAGATCCCTCCACATGCATCACAACATGCCTGCCTGCCTCACGCCCTCTGCCTCTCTGCTTGGCTGCTAAACTCTTTTACAGTGCCCACACCACACTCAGCTTACCTCTTCCGTGATCATAATCATCCCCAGGAGCTGTCCAAGTCAGATTAATGAGACTGTCCCCTTGGATTTTTGCCTTCAGGTCAGTGATTTTACAAGGCGGAAAGAGATCAGGTATGGGAGCCTTTGGAACATCGGAGGCCACAAATGAACCTCCCGAGGACGTTCTGCTGAAACACACTTGCTTGCCTTGAAGATCATCCTTATTAATTTCAGGTCTTGGTGGATTCCATTTTACTTGATCTGCATTAAAAAATTCCTCAGTGCAAGGTAAACAACACCATGAAATGGCTATACTTCCCTCTGTTTTTTATTGTATTACCCTCTTTCTACCCTTTCCTTCTTTCCTCCCACACACAAAACTTACTTTAACCATTTGTTGTAAAGCTCCCAAATCAGGTTGCATCAGATGGAAAAAAAGTAAAGAGAAAATCACAGTTCTTTATCTCACATATATTTATTTCCTGGATATTTAGTGGAATAGCTTTCATAATTTATTTTTTGTAAATATACTTGTCCTGGAATTGTTTCTTTTCCCAACTTTTTGCTATCCTACTCTTAACCTGACACAAGGTCAGTTTAAATACTACCTCTGCTTTAAACCTTCTCAGACTTCCTCAAGCAATCTCTTCCACCTGGGTAATACTAGGGGTTTCATTGTCTTTCCTATTTATTTCTTAATCAATTATCTGGGCCTTCAAGAATTGCCTTGATTAATAATTCTGTGCATTTTTCTCCATGTTTGTGTTTTGTCTTTCTTATTAGATTGTAGTTTCTCACAAAATGTTTTATGTTAGGGGTTCTAAAATTGTGTGCTTTTGAAAGACTTGATTTTCTCAATGAATGCATGGAAATCTAATTCATGTAGCAATCCCAATTTGCTTCACATTCTTGTTGAAAGGTTGTATAAAAATCATCCTGAAATTCTAAAAATACCCTGGCCTGCTCAATCAGTGGGATTCTCAGACTCTCTTTTCAATAAAAATATTCTGGAATACCTTAACATGGCATTACTCTGGTTTTACTTTCTCATAAACTCTTCTTCTTTAGCCCTTATAATCTTTTGTCTGTAAAGACAGATTGATCTTTATACCCATTAATCTGGTCTTGGGCAAAGATGAAATGAATACTTTAGCAGGTTTAAGATTAATTCAATTCACCAGTAGAGAATGTCTTTCTTGGTATCAAGGCTCATCAAGGTATAGGGGGAAGAGCATAGCTTCCCAGTGCCAAGTCAGGTGCTATCACTTTTAGTAATGTGGACCAATAACCTCTCTAGCCTCTGTTTCTCCATCTGTAAAATGGGATAATTAGGAGAATGAGCTATATTAATGTAAGTGTAACACTGAGCATAATGCTAGATATAGCAACTATACCCGTCTTCTCCTGACTTCTCTCCCTAACTCAACAAAAAGGGCAAATGAGAATAAAATAAGCTGAAATATGTAAAGGAGCTTTGGAAGCAATGATGTCTTTTAAAGCATTTTTTCCTATTATCACTTTTGCATGAGGACACACCACATGTCTCAGAATCCTCCCTTTACTGATCACACACTCAAGTAAAGAGGACAGTGTGAAGCTTCTTAGAAGAGCTTTTCTTACTACACACCAGCACTAGGACAAGACCTGTCCAGGACAGAATGCAGATTGATGGAAAACAAGTCCTGGAACCTATCAGGACTCAGTCTTGGACCTGATTCCAGCTCTAGTCCAGGACAAGTGTTCGTAACTAAGATTGGTGTGGGACTGTCTGTTCCTTGGAGCGTAATTTTTCCACTTGCTTACATGTGGGCTCAGTATGCTATCTGTTATTAGGTTCGTCTACTATTCTCCCTAGTCTGAGCAGAAGAGAGGAGGAAAAGGAGACAGTGGGCTTTTGGTGATACTGATGCAGATAACAAGCCCCAAATTGTTATTTTTGATTCTGTGGAAATGCCTATATCAGTAGAAAGAGCTTTATTATGAAATGTGTTAAGATTTATTTAAAATAATAACAAACATTTATTGAACACTTCTTATTTACCAGCAATAGCTTATTAGATGTATTTTCTTGTTTATTCCTCATAACCATCCCGTGAGGTAGTTACCATTATTACCTATTTTACAAGTGAGGCAAATGAAGCACAAGAGATGACCAGGGTGGTCAAAATCTACGTTCAGTCTAGTGGTTTTCAACTGGGGGCTATGTTATTACCTAGAGGACAGTGAATGATGTCTGGAGACATTTTTAATTGTCATGACTGTGGGGGCCGCTTCTGATATCTGGTGAATAGAGGCCGGAAATGCTGCTAAACATCCTACAATGCACAGGACTGCCCTTCACAACAAAGAATTATGTGGCCAAAATGTCAATAGTTACCAAGGTTGAGAAACCCTGATTTAATTTTGTACCATTCTCTCCACAGGTTTAGTGGTTTTCACTTGATTCCAAGCCTTTTACTCAAGCCAAGGATGTTATTATAGATGACTTACCATTCTCGATCCAGCCAGGTATGTACATGGCTCCAATTTGCTGGGGTATCCCCTTCTGAGTGGCTGTATCGACACCTCCCAGAGCCCACACTTTTACACTGTATCTACCATTTGTATCGTAAGCTGTAAAATACCTTGAATAGACACCATCATCCTTAGTAGCATCAGCACCTTGACAGGGAAATGAAGGAATTAATGAATATCCTAAAGGTAACTGGGCATTTGTATATTTCCAACTCATACGTGGATTAAATTTTCTTAAAGCAAAGATAATCCAGTGTTATCTCCAAGAGAGTTTAGGATTTGACTATGTTAAGAATGAGGTATACTTATTTTCCGTGTGTGTGTGTGTAATTTCATACGTGTACATCTTGTCTTCCTGAATTGTTGTCTTTTTTCTGAACTCAGAGATCAATCATGTGCCTCTGTTACAACCAACATAGCACAAGGTAACTACTCAGTACGTATCTGTTGAACTGAATTCAATTACTATATGTTACTGGTGAGAAAAAAAAGTTATATGATTTTTTTAAAAATTTATGGCTTTTCACTAGGGTAGATTTAGGTGGGAAATTCATTTACAGAATTTGTTTTAATAAGGTTACTTGTTTCACAGTAGTCAAGTTCCTTCTAAAAATAAATGTAGAATTTTCTTTTTCTCTCCCTGTTTGACTTCTTAAATATAAAAATAATAGGTAGAATTTTCCCTTTGGGTGCAGGATAATATAGAATCTACATAGATATGGGGGTCACATATAACTATACTTTAATCCAACTCTGCTGCTTTTTAAATGTGAAAGCCTGTTTCTTCATCTGTAATGTAGGGATAATATCTCCAAAGTGTGTGGTGAAGATTAAAAAATGAAGATCTATCTATCTACCTATCTATCCATCTGTCTAATCTTCACACAAACTCCTAACACAAAATATCTATTAATTTTCCTTCTTCACTTTTTGGGGGGTGTGGAATACCCACTGACAACTCCCTAGAGTCTGAGACTTCGGGGCTTTACAAAAGCTAAAGGTAGTCCCTTCCTCATGTTTTCCAACAATTTGAAATATAGGAATTGTGGGGTGGCAGAAAGCTCCCCCAACCAGAACCACAGCGCTGGACTTCCTGCTTCTAACTGTCCTCACCACAACATGCCCTCCTGCTGTTCCCTGGTTGCTTCTTGGAAAAGAAAGATATGTTCTTCAAGTTCTTGGGTGGTTACCTGCTCCGTTGTCCAATAATTCCAAAGTAACTGTTTTTCCATCCACTGATTCTATCAGGGCTGTGACCTTGGCCCTGAGAATTGGCAAGCTTCCTTGGTGAATCTTTGCATAAACTACCATAGGGCTAGGGAATTTGCCTGTGTCTTTGTTCATTTTAGAGGTCACTGTAACTGGAGGCAAGGTACCACTTGATGCACGGGAGGTGACAGTCAATGTCAGGGTTTGTGACCTTGCTTGTAGGCTGTATTTCCAAATGCCGATCTAGCCAAAAAAAATGGAGACATTTCCACTTAATAGCTTTAAGTGACACAGACCTGACTTCAATGCCACCTATAGGAAGAGCCCATCTAATACAAGTACATTACAAGTATATCTAAGAAGATTTTTGATACTCTCTCAGCCAAGGGAAACTTTGGTATATTTGGACTAAGTACATGGTTCTATTGCCAAGAAAATCCTAGTTGGGAAAAATGAGGTCTGAAAGTTGTGTCCTTATTATAGCCTTGGTTTCTCAAGAGCAGGATCAAATCGACAGATTCCTGAGGTAGAGGAAATAGTTTTCATGATGCCAAAGCTCTAGCTGCTGTGTAATTTGAAGGTTCTCCTTTTAGCACCTGGAGAAAATATCACCAACTTCCTTTTTCTTGACTTGCTGTCATACTGAGTGATTTCCACCAGATGGAGATTTTTCCTTGTTTTCTCTTTCATTCAATACTGGCTCTTTTTTTAGCAACCACCCTCATTTAAAAAGCTACAATTATTCTGTAAAAATTTTATATTATCTTATCAAATTGTGAGAAGGAAAAAAGATGAGTCCATACCTTGGCAATGCCTGGGATTTGGAGGTAGGCCATTTTGATGTATGTGTCCACTAAAAAGCCATCTTGTTTCTTTCCGCTGGGATCCCAGAGAAGGATTTGGGGAATGTCAGTTGTCCAGGTGATGAGAAACAAAGTGTCTTTCCCCACAGTACTGTCCACAATCACCGTGCCATTCAACCACTGACTGTTCTGGAGGGTTAATCCCCTGCTCTCAAGCTGTTAAGAAAAACAGCTCTTTACTTTCTGGAGAATACAGCTCCCATCACATAGTCTCTTCCATTCTATCTCCAACTCTCAGTTATCCCATTAAAAAGCCTTCAGTGATGCCTGAGTCCTTGGTTTGATATTTAGGACCTATTATGATCCAATTCTAAATTACTTTTTCAGCCTTAGCTTCCATAATGTTGATTCCTACACCCAAACCAGACCACTTCCCCATATGATCCTCATGAATCCCTGACTCTCTGACTATCATACTCTCTGCTTTTCCTGGAAGTCTGTACATTCATGTGCATTTGTCTAAGCCTTCCCTACCCTTCAAAATTCAATTCAAAAGTCACTTTCTCCATGAAGCTTTCTCTGATGTCCATCTCACTTACTGTGGAGAATAATCTCTCCCTCCCTTGATCTCCCATAGAATCTTATTTCTATCAATCCTTTGAGCTCCTCACATCGTGTTTTGCTTTATACCTACTGGAGTACACAGCTCATCTCACTACTAGACTATAAACCCTTAAGGAGACTAACTAGGATTTATTTTCGCCCACATATGGATTGTTTGAATTGCAATTAACTAATTCGTGGGTCAATTATTACTGCAGTCCTTGTGAAGATAAATGAAATAAATCAATGGCCAAGGCTGATTCGTTGTCTGAAGTAGAATGAAGGAGCTGTGGAGCAGGGGATGAGGTAGGGTAGGGCTAACCAGACTTTGTAGAAATGTGATTTTTGAGGATTATCTCCTAGATAATTATTTATGGTCCTTAAATTGATATCCATTAGAAGATAGGGTGGCCTAGTAATGGAGCCAGACTTTCTAGTTTTGTATGTAGATTATGATCTGGGATATGAAGAAAGCTAGGGGCCCTTAAATATGATTCTTATGGCAGGTGCGTAAATGAGTCCTACTCATGTCTCTATCTTTCTCCCTTTTTGGTTTCTTAAATATAAAAATAATGGGCAGAAACTGCCTGGCTGTAAACTTGCCCTTTCATCACTTTAATTATTTTTCTAAGACACATTCCTCCCACGTCCAAACCAGGCTCTTGGGTTTAATATTCTAAATCTGAACTAGGATAACCCAAATGAGTATAATTGCTGTCTTCTTTGACTGAATAAATGCTACATCGATAGACTAGAAAGACTATTATTTTGAAATCTGTCATTATTTGGCTTTTTAAATTTTTTTATTGGAGTATAGTTGATTTACAATGTTGTGTTAGTTTCAGGTGTACAGCAAAGTGAATCAGTTATACATATACATATATCCATTCTTTTTTAGATTCTTTTCCCATATAGGCCATTACAGAGTACTGAGTAGAGTTCCCTGTGCTATATATTAGGTCATTATTTGGCTTTGACACTACATTATTCCTTTAATTTTATTCACAATAAAAGTTACAACTCACACAAGTGTGGTGCTGATTGTTCACTCTCTCTAGTTTAAAGATTCATGTGAATAACTTTTACAACTATTAGAGAAGAGCATTTAAAAATATATTTGTCCTTTTTTTATTGTCCCAAGACTTTTGAAAGAAAATTTGGTTTTCTTGAAATTTTAGAAGCAGAAGGGCCCGTAGAAGTTTTCTTGTTCATCTCTGGCTGAGAAGCTGAAGCTCAGAGAAGTAAAGTTCTTTGCCCGTGGTCACAGTTAATGGCAGACCCATGAACAGGATCCAGGTGTCTGGACTGACAACATGGGCTTTTCACAGTACAAATCACTTTCCATTCATTATATGAAAATCTTGGCAAATATCAGGGATTTGAGGTAATGGAAAAATAGACCAAGTAATCCCTGCACAGTTGTCCCAGAAAATTTATACTGAGATGATCTACTCTGAAGAAAATTCTGAGCCAATTATATTGCTATGGGTGCTTGTTAACAGATGTTAAAAAAGAATTCCTGGACCCACTATATTTTATGTTGATGGTTTCTAAGAGGAAGTCACTTAGTATTGTTTCCAAACAAGAAACACTAATTGCCTTGTTTAAATGAATAGTGTTGTATTTTAGGAATAATGTCTAATATCAGGCTGAAACGTCTATTTTAATTTTAATTCATTACTAGAAGAATGTAGAACTTAAAACTTTTAACCATTAAACTCCCCCTCTTGGCTATGGTTATTTATAAACATGAAAAACCAAGGAGGAAGAACTCTGACCTGGATGGAACGCTGGGAGACAGCTCCGTTTCCTGATGAAAGGGCCCCAAAAGCATCCATGAGGCCATTGTTCTGAACCTGATCTGAAGCATATGTCTGTAAACCTCCTAAAATGCAATCACATTATCAGAAGTTATTTTCTAGAAAGCAAGTATTTGCAACATTTTAGATATTGTTAAGATAACAAAATACATATTATATACTGTGTTATTAAAGTACTAATAGATTAACATTAAATAGGTGTCCAGATTAACTCAGAAGCTGATACTAACTTTTTAATCCTATTAAATAATAGCTTCAGCAACATAGTCATTTGGCCACTTCAGCTCTCTGCAAAGCAGTCAAGAATCTCCAACAGACCAAAACTAGTAATATAAATCTCGTGTTTTAAAGGTCATGCACTTTCATATGAGTCATTAAGCCTTACTGCAAGTGTATTGATTTATTCTTATTTTAGACATAATCTTAGCAAGCTTGACTTTTCAAGTTTTCTCCTAAATCAGAAAAGATGCGTATGTTACAACAGTAAGAAATAACAACTGACAGGGGACAGTTATAGAAAAGTATTATGTATAGTAAACAGGAGATGATATACCAGGCC